TCTGAAAAACAAAACAAAGGATCAGCAATGTTTTAAACAAAAAATCAAAAGATCACTTTGGTCTTCTATTAGTTCAATCCATGCAGTTAACTCCTGTCCTGCTTGATATTTATCAACATTTCAGCTTTTCATGAGAGTCCTGAAAGTTTTTTTATTTATTCTAATGTCATAATCCCCAACGTTATCAGAAACCTGCATTCAAGAACACCTGTCAGAGTCCTTTAGCTGACTATAAACCACCTTTTAAATAGGACTAAAATAAGACAACTGTTGGTGGATGACAAAAATTTCTCAGGGCAGCCACAGTCAAAAAACATGATTGACAAAGAAATTTGATTACCTTGGTGGCAATGTTGACAATGTTTCCTGTATGATTTTTATACCAAATAAGCCAAATGTGATTTTTATATTAGTGTACTATTAATGTTAAACCCTATCCTTAATAAAACTTTATAGATATATCCACCCAATTTTAATATTTGACTTAAGGTAAGATTCTTATACCTTTTATAACCCTTTACAAATTTATGTTAAAAAGCAGATTAGTGCTCTAAGAAAAACCTTTTGTGCTTATATCCCAATGTTCAATTCATGGAAAAACTGAATAATACCCCTTTAACTTAGCCAGTATGTTCACACACAGAATTTCTTTTACGAGATTAATTTGTCACAAGCCTTTCACAGCTCACTCAAACCTTCAAGTGTTTGAGTGTCTAATTTCAAACAATCCTTTAAACTCTTAGGCAAAAAAATCCATATTCCTATGACTTCTTATAATATTTTACCAAAAATGCATTTCAGTTTCTTTACACACTTCGCATGTAAAACTGTTTCTTCAGTTGTCTCAATAACATATTACAGTGTTAGCTTTTAGCAATTTTTACTTTTGGTGGAAAACCTGGTTAGTAAGCGATTTTAATTATGTACTAGGTATGGAGCCTAGGACAACAGATAAGATGTGACTTTTTCAAGCATAGCTAGGGGGCATGGCTAACACCACATGTCCCCAGGTCTTATCTAGAATCTAATGCTCTAAAGTAGGTAAATTGAACAATTTTCAAAAGTCAAAGAAGCAATTTATGACCTTAAAGCATTTAGTAAACTTAATATCTGACCTGTAAAATTTAGACCAAATGTGTTTCTTTTATCAATAATCTTTAAAACTCTGTTTATTTTCCAAAGATTACTTAAGTCACATGTACTAAAAGGCATTACACTTCTTACTTTTCTGACAAAATATTTGATTTAAGCTCTTATTTTTAAACTAATTAAAGATATTAAACATATCACACACACACACACAACACATAAATATACATACAGGAGAAGATTCAGTAATTGTAAGACTTTTCATTTGCCAGTTTCTAAGTTTCTCTTTAAGGCATGCAGTTTCTAGGGCTTAACTTGCAGGCACAGCTGGAAGGCAAAACAGATATACAAAATTAACAATCCCATTTTTATGCCAGATCCTGGATCCCAAAAAGAGGGAATCAGCCCATCTCCATGGGAGTCTTATCTCTCAGTGGTGGGTGGGGACTTTTTTTTTAACCTTCTAGGTTGCCAACAGCATGCTTCTCTGATCTAAACATGCAAAAAGCCACATATTCCCCAATAACTGCCATTAGCCTTCCCCAAAAGTATATTTCCTACCTAGTTATTACACACCAAAGTTATCTCATAATACTAAGCAATTTCTGACTCCCCAAAAGTAAAAAACATTGGATAATGCAATGCAAAACAGAATAGAACCTTAGATTTTTAAAGGAATCTATCCATTTCCAATTCCTGGGGTTTCATGAAGAAAACGGGTTTTTCCCAAAACCCAGTCTGTGGTGCCTCCTCTGTTTTTCCCAAGGAGTCTCATGCTGTTAGAGCTTGAATATCCACTTAAAAATAAGCTAACTTTTAACCATAGCACTCTTTTTAAAAAGTCCTTTTAAATCTCTTATTCCTGAACTTTAGCCAGGCCAAATGGCCAATATTCCTGTCTTCTGAGCTTTACCAAAGGAAACCTCCCAGGTGCTCAAAGAAAGGAAAAATTCAAGAAGTGAAGCCGGAAGTTGTTCATCATGGAGGGGAAGAGAATCTACAAATGGCAAAGGTCACACAGATATCAAACTGGAAAAGACTCATTCCCTAATCCCGGAATTGAACCTGGGCCACCATTGTAAAACAGTGAAGCCTCTGATGCTGAGCTACAGCATTGGGCAGTTTCCATTGCCCTTCCCAGAAGGAGCCTAGAGCGGCCAATTTTGAGCTTGCAAAGGCTTTTAACTTCTCAAGATAATTTTTAGTGCTAACCATGACATGAATTCCAAAGTTCCTGTTCTCTGGAAGGTGGAGACCAAGAGAAAGTACTGCCACATAGTTAAAAGGTCAAGCTCCCAAGGAAATAAAACAAGATGAGAGGGAAACGTTACCAGTTTTTTGTTTTTGTTTTTGCTTTTTTTTGGGGACCTGCAGCAAAGTTTTAACTGACCTGTTTGCTGGGCTGGCTTGAACAGCGTGCTTACAGGAGTCCTAAGCCTGTGTTCTATCCTAAGGTACCCTTCTCCATTACAGAACAACACAGAAAGACAAATTTATAGCACAAAGTACAGATTTTCACTACAGCTTAAGACTAGCCTCACAATTCCTTTTTCTGATTAATCAAAACTTGATAGAGTTTTGGCTACTTCTGATCTCCTTAGCCACCTACTTACATACCAGTTCAGATAATATTAGTCTGTTGGTCCAGGTACAGAAGAATAAAAATTCATTTAGGCCTAATTTTGTTAATTACACTCTCAAAGGGCAATTTTATTTCTCTTATATTCTTACTTCATCTCTCATCTTCTCTGTCACCTTCATATGCTACCCATGGTGTTACTTCCCTCCCTTCATTCTCTTCACAGGCCAGACTCTTGGATTTTTAGAGAGCAGATTTGTATTTATAGCCCAAGGCAGGGATACCTATAAGCTTCAGGTCAAGCATTTTTATAGCTACCAACCCCTTGAATAATTTCTGAATACGATTCTATAAAATATTCACAGAGTACAGTCTAAGTCTGACATTTTAAACACAAAATATGTCTTCAATGAATGCTGACTGTAATGATAACATAGTCATTCACTGAGTTTTCTTTTTTTTTTTTTTTCCATTTCATCACAAAACCAGATGAGATACACAAGGGATGGAAAAAAACAACTGTGTTCTTTCTCTGCGGAGACTGTAGTTGACAGTGATGCAAAAAAACAAACAATTAACCTTTCTGAAAAGCCCGGTTGGTCCTAAACTAATTGCTTCCTCTTCTTTTCAACCTTGGAGCACTCTGGGCCCTGTTGCCTCTAGAGCTTTCAAGATGGAGGGAAGACCTAGAGCAAATCCAAAGAATACGCACTGACCTGAGCAGCTTCTTAAGAGGGGGTTGGCTCTAGGTCTGTAGGAAGCAGTTCAGTTCTGAGTCATTTCAGCAACGTTCTGGTTTGGTGTACACTGTATAGAACAAACACATGGGGGTTTGTGGAAGTTGAGAAGGATCTAGACAAGATCCTCTCCTTTCAGATCTCCTGAGATTTAGGGGTCAGCCTGACCTTATGGTTACTGGGAAGCCCCAAAGTAGCCTTTAAGTATGTATCTAGTTATTCCTGGAAGCCTTACTAGAGGCAAGCAAACCAAGTGTAACTTGCAGGTAGACTGTAGTTCATAGCTCTGGGGGGAAGCTAAGGGACAGTATCATGGGATGATACCCAATCACAAAAATCAGGTAGATTACCCAAGAAGTCATCATTCTTAAGCAGCTTTAGAGAGAGAATCCAGGTAACAAACCCATGAAAGAATGTGCTCAAGAGTTAGGATGAGAGTCAGGGCCTGGTGAACTTTTTATGTTGACAAAGGGGTAGTTTTAAAACATCTATTTTACAATATATGATATGTACCTAGAATAATTCGCAAACAACCATGTACATCAGGAGATATAAGCACTCATTTTGGGAGTAAAACATTACCCAATGCATTGAAGCCCCTGTGTTCTCCCCTGTAATTGAATACCTGTGTCCCCCAGAGGTAATCATGATCTTGAATTTCCGTATTTGCCTATATTTATACTATGAATGTATGTGTTTCCAAATTTTATGTATATGTATATATTTGCAAGTTATACAATTCATGTGTGTGTGTATATATATATATGCTATCATTTTTTTCATGAATTCTTGCACAACGTAATTTTTTTGTTTTTAAGAGACAGGGTCTCACTCTTTTGCCCAGGCTATAGTGCAGTGGCGCAATCTCAAAGCTCACTACAGTCCTGGGCTCAAGTGATCCTCCTGCCTTAGCCTTCCAAGTACCTGGGACTACAGGTGTCTGCCACCATGTCCAGCTAATTTTTAAATATTTTGTAGAGACATGGGTCTCACTATGTTGCCCAGGCTGATCTCAAACTCCTGGCCTCAAGAGATCCTCCCACCTTGGCCTTCCAAAATGTTGGGATTACAGACGTGAGCCACCACACCCAGCCTGTAACTTAATTTTTTTATTCAGCTGTGTTTGTGAGATCTATTTAGGTTGATGCATGTAGCAGAGGTTCATATTTGTTTCAACAGCAGGGCTTTCTATGCTGTGGGCCTAGTTTTGGAAAGGAAGGAAGAAAGAAGGAGGGAGCCACTTAAAGGCCCTGACCTGTTATAGGCAGTCCAGATTGTGCACTTAGTGTCCCAAAGTGGTGACCCAATTCACCCATCAGTCAGCTGCAAGAGTGGCGATGTGATGCAGCTGGCGGAGGAAGCTAATTATAATGGAGAAAACTGAATTTGCGTAGAGAACTGGGAATCAACTAAATACAAATAACATTTCCTGGTTAAAAAAACACCAAATAAGGATTTAAAAAATGCATGTTTACTGTTTTAAAAAATAGTTTTTTGAGTCAGATACAGCAAAATTTCAAAATTAGGCAGTTTTACAAGTGCTATGGGAAAAATAGCCTAATTAAACTTTTCTCTCCTCTTTTTTTTCTCCACCGTCTTAGTGTTTTCTGCATTCTGTCCCAGCGGATCTGATTCCTGTTCTGAAGAACTGAAGTTCAGCATCGTTAGTTAAATTCAGCTGCTGCCTGACTGTACACCACAGCAAAGGCTTTGGAGACATTTCACAGTTAAAACTATAATGACTTTCTTGGAGTGTAATCCCAGTGGAGGCTGTTCTACATATAGCCTGAAAGAATACTTAACTACCATCAGCAATTCTGCAGAGACCTTGTAAAAAACACACTTTACACCAAACAACTGAGTGATTCTGAGTTGGTTGGGGGAACCTTAGTTGTAGATATCAATTTACCTTCTTGAAGACTCAACCACTGCTACTCAGAGAGCTGCTGCTGAAATACCATGTCTAAGAACTCAGAGTTCATCAATCTGTCATTTTTATTGGATCATGAGAAGGAAATGATCCTGGGCGTCCTAAAGAGAGATGAATATTTGAAAAAAGTGGAGGACAAGAGAATAAGGTAGTATTCTTTTTATTTTTTCAGTCCTTCTTGACTGCTTTCTGTTTGTTTGAAGCAATTTGGATCAGAAATGGGCCAAGTGCAACCACACTGGGGACAGAGGTCAGTTAGGAACTTCATGAGTTCTCAGCAGTAGCCCAAATATCAGAAAACTTTGGTGTTTCACCATTTAGCCAGACATGAAAATGAAATTTAGCTAATAAAATGGTGTTGATGAGAACACTTAATTTGCTAATGTTCATAATTTTTAGTTAAAAGGAAGGACTACCCAAGTTTGAGTACCAGCTCTGGCAAGTATTAGTCGTGTGACTTTGAGCAAGCTACTCAACTTCCCTGTGCCTTGGTTTCCTCGTCGGTAAAACAAAGATAATAATAGTACCCACCTCATAGGGTTGTTGTAAAGATTAAGGAAGTTTGTACATATGTAGTGCCTGTCACCTAAGTGTTCAATAAATGTTAGCTATTATTTATTTGTAATGCCTTTGTCAGATCAGTCTTACTGGGGATTTACCTCCAGGACAGCTGGGAGAAGAAAGGGACCTGGAGAGTAAAAAGTTCCCATCATACCCCAGAAACCACTGAATTTTTAAAAACAAGTTTCTTGTGAAGAAAGTTGAATAATATGGGCACAGCTGAGTTTCTTTTTTTTTTTTTTTAATTTATTTATTATTATTATACTTTAAGTTGTAGGGTACATGTGCATAACGTGCAGGTTTGTTACATATGTATACTTGTGCCTTGTTGGTGTGCTGCACCCATCAACTCGTCATTTACATCAGGTATAACTCCCAATGCAATCCCTCCCCCCCCCCCCCCCTCCCCCCTCCCCATGATAGGCCCCGGTGTGTGATGTTCCCCTTCCTGAGTCCAAGTGATCTCATTGTTCAGTTCCCACCTATGAGTGAGAACATGCGGTGTTTGGTTTTCTGTTCTTGTGATAGTTTGCTAAGAATGATGGTTTCCAGCTGCATCCATGTCCCTACAAAGGACACAAACTCATCCTTTTTGATGGCTGCATAGTATTCCATGGTGTATATGTGCCACATTTTCTTAATCCAGTCTCTCACTGATGAACATTTGGGTTGAATCCAAGTCTTTGCTATTGTGAATAGTGCCGCAATAAACATACATGTGCGTGTGTCTTTATAGCAGCATAATTTATAATCCTTTGGGTATATACCCAGTAATGGGATGGCTGGGTCATATGGTACATCTAGTTCTAGATCCTTGAGGAATCGCCATACTGTTTTCCATAATGGTTGAACTAGTTTACAATCCCACCAACAGTGTAAAAGTGTTCCTATTTCTCCACATCCTCTCCAGCACCTGTTGTTTCCTGACTTTTTAATGATCGCCATTCTAACTGGTGTGAGATGGTATCTCATTGTGGTTTTGATTTGCATTTCTCTGATGGCCAGGGATGATGAGCATTTTTTCATGTGTCTGTTGGCTGTATGAATGTCTTCTTTTGAGAAATGTCTGTTCATATCCTTTGCCCACTTTTTGATGGGGTTGTTTGTTTTTTCCTTGTAAATTTGTTTGAGTTCTTTGTAGGTTCTGGATATTAGCCCTTTCTCAGATGAGTAGATTGCAAAAATTTCTCCCATTCTGTAGGTTGCGTGTTCACTCTGATGGTAGTTTCTTTTGCTGTGCAGAAGCTCTTTAGTTTAATGAGATCCCATTTGTCAATTTTGGCTTTTGCTGCCTTGCTTTTGGTGTTTTAGACATGAAGTCTTTGCCCATGCCTATGTCCTGAATGGTACTACCTAGGTTTTCCTCTAGGATTTTTATGGTATTAGGTCTAACATTTAAGTCTCTAATCCATCTTGAATTAATTTTCGTATAAGGAGTAAGGAAAGGATCCAGTTTCAGCTTTCTACTTACGGCTAGCCAATTTTCCCAGCACCATTTATTAAATAGGGAATCCTTTCCCCATTTCTTGTTTCTCTCAGGTTTGTCAAAGATCAGATGGCTGTAGATGTGTGGTATTATTTCTGAGGACTCTGTTCTGTTCCATTGGTCTATATCTCTGTTTTGGTACCAGTACCATGCTGTTTTGGTTACTGTAGCCTTGTAGTATAGTTTGAAGTCAGGTAGCGTGATGCCTCCAGCTTTGTTCTTTTGACTTAGGATTGTCTTGGAGATGCAGGCTCTTTTTTGGTTCCATATGAACTTTAAAGCAGTTTTTTCCAATTCTGTGAAGAAACTCGTTGGTAGCTTGATGGGGATGGCATTGAATCTATAAATTACCTTGGGCAGTATGGCCATTTTCACGATATTGATTCTTCCTATCCATGAGCATGGTATGTTCTTCCATTTGTTTGTGTCCTCTTTTATTTCACTGAGCAGTGGTTTGTAGTTCTCCTTGAAGAGGTCCTTTACATCCCTTGTAAGTTAGATTCCTAGGTATTTTATTCTCTTTGAAGCAATTGCGAATGGAAGTTCATTCCTGATTTGGCTCTCTGTTTGTCTGTTACTGATGTATAAGAATGCTTGTGATTTTTGCACATTAATTTTGTATCCTGAGACTTTGCTGAAGTTGCTTATCAGCTTAAGGAGATTTTGGGCTGAGACAATGGGGTTTTCTAAATATACAATCATGTCATCTGCAAAGAGGGACAATTTGACTTCCTCTTTTCCTAACTGAATACCCTTGATTTCTTTCTCTTGCCTAATTGCCCTAGCCAGAACTTCCAACACTATGTTGAATAGGAGTGGTGAGAGAGGGCATCCCTGTCTTGTGCCAGTTTTCAAAGGGAATTTTTCCAGTTTTTGCCCATTCAGTATGATATTGGCTGTGGGTTTGTCATAAAAGCTCTTATTATTTTGAGGTAGTTCCATCAATACCGAATTTATTGAGCATTTTTAGCATGAAGGGCTGTTGAATTTTGTCAAAAGCCTTTTCTGCATCATTGAGATAATCATGTGGTTCTTGTCTTTGGTTCTGTTTATATGCTGGATTATGTTTATTGATTTGCGAATGTTGAACCAGCCTTGCATCCCAGGGATGAAGCCCACTTGATCATGGTGGATAAGCTTTTGATGTTTGCTGAATCCGGTTTGCCAGTACTTTATTGAGGATTTTTGCATCGATGTTCATCAGGGATATTGGTCTAAAATTCTCTTTTTTTGTTGTGTCTCTGCCAGGCTTTGGTATCAGGATGATGTTGGCCTCATAAAATGAGTTAGGGAGGATTCCCTCTTTTTCTATTGATTGGAATAGTTTCAGAAGGAATGGTACCAACTCCTCCTTGTACCTCTGGTAGAATTCAGCTGTGAATCCATCTGGTCCTGGACTTTTTTTGGTTGGTAGGCTATTAATTATTGCCTCAATTTCAGAGCCTGCTATTGGTCTATTCAGGGATTCAACTTCTTCCTGGTTTAGTCTTGGAAGAGTGTAAGTGTCCAGGAAATTATCCATTTCTTCTAGATTTTCCAGTTTATTTGCGTAGAGGTGTTTATAGTATTCTCTGATGGTAGTTTGTATTTCTGTGGGGTCGGTGGTGATATCCCCTTTATCATTTTTAATTGCATCGATTTGATTCTTCTCTCTTTTCTTCTTTATTAGTCTTGCTAATGGTCTGTCAATTTTGTTGATCTTTTCAAAAAACCAACTCCTGGATTCATTGATTTTTTGGAGGGTTTTTTGTGTTTCTATCTCCTTCAGTTCTGCTCTGATCTTAGTTATTTCTTGCCTTCTGCTAGCTTTCGAATGTGTTTGCTCTTGCTTCTCTAGTTCTTTTAATTGCGATGTTAGAGTGTCAATTTTAGATCTTTCCTGCTTTCTCTTGTGGGCATTTAGTGCTATAAATTTCCCTCTACACACTGCTTTAAATGTGTCCCAGAGATTCTGGTATGTTTTCTCTTTGTTCTCATTGGTTTCAAAGAACATCTTTATTTCTGCCTTCATTTCGTTATGTACCCAGTAGTCATTCAGGAGCAGGTTGTTCAGTTTCCATGTAGTTGAGCAGTTTTGATTGAGTTTCTTAGTCCTGAGTTCTAGTTTGATTGCACTGTGGTCTGAGAGACAGTTTGTTATAATTTCTGTTCTTGTACATTTGCTGAGGAGTGCTTTACTTCCAATTACGTGGTCAATTTTGGAGTAAGTACGATGTGGTGCTGAGAAGAATGTATATTCTGTTGATTTGGGGTGGAGAGTTCTATAGATGTCTATTAGGTCTGCTTGCTGCAGAGATGAGTTCAATTCCTGGATATCCTTGTTAACTTTCTGTCTCGTTGATCTGTCTAATGTTGACAGTGGAGTGTTGAAGTCTCCCATTATTATTGTATGGGAGTCTAAGTCTCTTTGTAAGTCTCTAAGGACTTGCTTGATGAATCTGGGTGCTCCTGTATTGGGTGCATATATATTTAGGATAGTTAGCTCTTCCTGTTGAATTGATCCCTTTACCATTATGTAATGGCCTTCTTTGTCTCTTTTGATCTTTGATGGTTTCAAGTCTGTTTTATCAGAGACTAGTATTGCAACCCCCGCTTTTTTTTGTTCTCCATTTGCTTGGTAAATCTTCCTCCATCCCTTTATTTTGAGCCTATGTATGTCTCTGCGTGTGAGATGGGTCTCCTGAATACAGCAGACTGATGGGTCTTGACTCTTTATCCAGTTTGCCAGTCTGTGTCTTTTAATTGGAGCATTTAGTCCATTTACATTTAAGGTTAAGATTGTTATGTGTGAACTTGATCCTGCCATTATGATATTAACTGGTTATTTTGCTCGTTAGTTCATGCAGTTTCTTCCTTGCCTCGATGGTCTTTACATTTTGGCATGTTTTTGCAATGGCTGGTACCGGTTGTTCCTTTCCATGTTTAGTGCTTCCTTCAGGGTCTCTTGTAAGGCAGGCCTAGTGGTGACAAAATCTCTAAGCATTTGCTTATCTGTAAAGGATTTATTTCTCCTTCACTTATGAAACTTAGTTTGGCTGGATATGAAATTCTGGGTTTAAAATTCTTTTCTTTAAGAATGTTGAATATTGGCCCCCACTCTC